AGTAAGGTTTTTATATAGTAAAAATTTGGTTTCTGATTTACAGTGCGTTATAGAATGGAGGCCGTTATAGAGGGGGCTGTTATAGAAAGAGTGAACTGTAGTTTGTAAAATTCGAGTAAGTCGGTCACTCTGGGGCAAGTTTATGTGACCGACTTTATATGTAATAGTTATTGTATGGGTGTTTGATACAATAACGTCCATATTATGAAACTGAGCTATATTGGTAGTGTAATACTTTCACTTTAAAACTTTTTTTGTTGTTATTAAACTGTTTTTCAATTTATTCGAATTTCTTCTAATTAATTTAAAGATTATATAATAACAGTAATATGAGTAAAGCCGGAAAAGTTCGTAAAACGCATATATATTTTTCTGTCTTAAATTGTATTAGTGCACATCTTTATTCTTTTCTTTTGTTAGACGTTTATATATCCCGAACATACTGACAGTGAACTTGAATACTTTTAAATAAATCCAAGTGAAAAGGAACAGTAACCATTAGAAAGGATTGTAGCTGTAATTGTAAAATAGAAAATGTCGATAATATTAGTGATCTAGAAAGACAAGTAATTAATTATATAATTAAAGAGATGATGGAAGTGACTATTCGTCAATATCAATTAAAATATTGTATCTGCTGTAGCAAGAAATCTAGCAGATAATAGTGTTATTGACACGATTGATATTTATAACAAACGTATCTTTAAAAAATTGTGAGAAGTTATTGGTGGTAGGCTTCGGCATCTTGATGAATTAGGTCTTAATTTTTACCTGCAACTCAAATGTCGCCTGCACAATATCAAAATTGATCTACATAAAATATCCAAAATAAACAACGTATAAATTATATATATATGAGGTGGATTGTTTTAGAGAAGTATTTTGTTTTCTTCCAATTTGATGTTGTATTACTGAGCTATTTACTTTTATATCAGAATTTTGTTGTAAATAGTTAAATAGATTTTGAATGTTATCCAATTTCTCTCATAATAATAAACTTTATTTCTCTCTCACAATAATGTAAATATAAATTAAATCATAAGTTCATTCTACAATTTGTATCGAAAGTTTTATTTCTTGGGAAAATAAAATCGTACGATTATTTTTGAAGATCATAGTTTAAAAAACTTAGTCACGTGCATAAATTATCACGTGAAACCGATGCAATTTAATTATACCCAAGCTGAATGGTTGGCCGACTTGAGTCTTATCGCGACTTTATCATTATTGATATTATATTAATATTAATATCGAATTTTTTTAAATAAAAAAAGGGGCGAAAATTTTTGGCCGAGACTGATCATCTATAATCAATTAATTGCTTATAGTAACAATAGGCCAGCATACTTGAACAAAAAAATTTTATATCATTTTTAAAAGATAAGTTTATTGTCCATGACTCAAGCTTCAAAACTTATCGGCTAGTTTTTTCTTAAACTAAAAATTGGCCGAGCCTTAGCATTTTGAAAATTCCAAATTTTGCGAAATTGCGACAATCATTTTTTTCGCAACATACTGTATATCGATTTATTTGTATTATTTATTTCCTTTTTTTTTATTAATAATAAAAGTTCTTTACGATAAAAGCTTAACGAACATAAATATTGTAACACGAAAATTATTATTGCATTTCTGAGCATAACTCAATTTAAAAATCCATGAAAAAAAAAAGACGACATGAATTGACTCCCTTTTTAAAGCTGAAATTGAGTGGCGGTGATCCAACATGTGGATCACATAATATTTGAGTATAGATGATCCGCACTGTAGTAAATAATTCCAAATTTAAAAAACTCATGTCATAATTATGTCATGTGAAATCATACCATTTATATATATACAAACCGTAACCGTGTGAACCAAAAAAATATTTTAATTTGTAGAATTTTAATCAACAATTTATCTTATCAATGTCGAATCGGTCAAAATTATGTTTTGACATGTGCCCTTCTTCTGAAAATGCACTAATTAGTATAGTAATATATCATGCCGTTTTACATCATCATCAATTTTTCTAACTATAAAAAAATTTATATAAATATTAATTATTTTTTTAATTAAAAAAAAATTTTTATTTTTCTCCTTGAATTTTTATATACAACAACAAATTAAAATTAAAATTAAAATTAAAATTAAAAACATGGCTCAACGAGATATTAATAGTCCTTATTTATTTGAAATTGCATGGGAAGTTGTCAATAAAGGTAATATTGTAATAGTAGTAATAATAATATCATGATTATTATTATTTCATCAATAATAGTCCTTTATAATTATAGTTGGGCCAATCTATACTATGATTAAATCCAAGGCTCCAGTGACAGTTCACGAGTATGGTGAAAGGTACACACTGATCGGTCCATTATCCATCAAGACAGCATCTGCAGAAGTGGAAGTGGAAGAAATTAAAAATCCTCATCTTAAAGGAGTTCTTGATGAAATGTCAAACAAAGGTGTAAGATGGATGTATGGTAGATGGTTGATTGAAGGTGCTCCTCATGTATTATTGTTTGACACAAATTCAGTGGCCAATAAACTAGATTCATGGAAAAGTGATTTATGGAATGATGTTGGTATTCCATCACCACCAAATGATCAAGAAACAAATGATTCAATATTATTTGGTTATTTGGTAGCTTGGTTTCTAGATGATGTAAGTATACAAACAAGTACATGTGTGTGCATGTGAGAACTCTTTGATTTGAGTAACAACACTATTTAACACATTTATATTTTTTAGTTTGTGGCTCAAGAAAAATCCAAAGCAATAATTGCACATTTTCATGAATGGTTGTCTAGTGTTGCTATACCATTAATTCGTAAACGTGGGACTGATTTGACAACAATATTTACCACTCATGCAACTTTGTTAGGAAGATATTTATGTTCTGGTTCAGTAGATTTTTACAATGAAATCTCAAATTTTTCAGTTGAGGATGAAGCTGGAAAACGTGGGATATATCATCGTTATAGTATTGAACGTGCTGCAGCTCAGTGTGCTGATGTTTTCACTACTGTCAGTCAAATTACTGCCTATGAAGCTGAACATTTATTAAAAAGAAAACCAGGTATATAAAAAATGTGTATTATATATATATATATATATATCAATATAATTATTCTAATATATAATAATTTATAAAAAATTTTGTTGTTTAGATGGAGTTCTTCCAAATGGTTTAAATGTAGTGAAATTTTCAGCAATGCATGAATTTCAAAATTTACATGCAAGAAATAAAGAAAAAATTCATAAATTTGTTAAAGGTCATTTCTATGGTCATTACAATTTTGACCTGGACAATACCTTGTATTTTTTTATTTCTGGTCGCTATCACTACAGAAATAAGGGCGTTGATATGTTTATTGAATCATTAGCAAGTTAGTATTAACTTGCCATGTTATTATTATAGATATAAATATGTGCATATAATATGTATGAGTATATTTCAATTATTTAATAATTATTCATTTTATTCATGATTTTGAAGAATTAAATCAAAGGTTAAAAGCATGCAATTCACCAATTACGGTAGTTGCATTTATTATTATGCCAACTAAAATACAATCTTTTTCAGTTGAAGCTTTGAAAGGTCAAGTAGTCACAAAACAGCTCCAAGAAACAGTAAAAGACATTACCGATAAAATCGGTCAAAGGATATTTGAGAAAGCTGCAAGATATGCTGGGTATGTATACATTTATAATATATAATTTATTTATGCTTTTAATTATTATATTTATATTCAGATATATGTATGTGTCCTTATTTCAACACTCACACATATATATACAGAGGAGAAATCAATAATGCAGTGGTTGACCCTTATGAATTATTTACTGACGAAGACAAGGTGTTACTGAAACGTCGTGTCATGGCACTAAAATCTAGCATACCTCCACCAATATTAACTCATAATATTGCTGATCCTGAATCAGATCCAATCTTGACACAATTACACCGTCTGGAACTAGTTAATAATCCAGAAGATCGCGTAAAAGTTATATTTCATCCTGAATTTCTAACTTCAAACAACCCTCTGATTGGCTTAGATTATGAGGATTTTGTACGTGGTTGTCATCTAGGCGTGTTCCCAAGTTATTATGAGCCATGGGGTTACACTCCTGCTGAATGTACAGTAATGGGTGTCCCATCCATCACAACCAATTTATCAGGCTTTGGATGTTTCATGGATGAAATATTGGAAAATTCATCAGATTATGGTATTTATATAATTGATCGAAGAATGAAATCAACTGATGAATCAACTCAACAATTGGTTGATTACATGTTACAATTTTGTCAGAAAACAAGACGTCAACGTATAAATCAACGTAACAGAACAGAACGATTGTCAGATTTGTTAGATTGGAAATTGGTTGGTATGGAATATGTCAGGGCAAGAAAATTGGCATTGCATAGAGCATATCCAGATTCATTTATTAATAATAATGATGATAGTGAAGGAGGAAGAAATTTTGATCTGCTCAATAATAATAATAGCAATAATAATAAGTTCAGAATATTAAAATTCCAATTTGCTCCAATATCATCTGGAATCACTAATCCTTCAGATACCGGTGAGAGTACCAGTGAGAGTAACAGTATGAATGAAAATAATATACACTACTTAAATATTAGAACTCCTGGTTCAACCATAGATGAAGAAATTGGTATCAGTACTGGTGGCGAATATCCATTTCCAGTGATTGCTAGTAGTGATAATACTAATGATGGTGATGATGATTCTACACAATCATAGTTGATAATAAGTTCATTTGAAGCAGATTTGGGATAATTTCAGAGTAAATTCAAAATAAAAGAATAAGAAGGATATTCCAATTTTATTAATTTATGAGATCATTTTTGATTAATGGGAATTATTTATTGGATTAATTAAGTAAATAAAAGGACAATTTTATTAAAAATTTGTAAAGTTGTCAAATAATTTTTGGAAAAATAAATCAGAAAATCAATTTTTTAATTTTTTTAGCATATTAATATATATATTTATATATGATCGACATGACACGAATTAATTAAATGTAAAAATTTATTATTGAACAATTTTCATTCAAGTAAAGACAACCATGTATCTTTGCTCTTTAAAACGCGATATTTTATATACCAGAGCTCCCTGTTTACGGATATATTCGCCCATACCATGGAGTATGGAGCAATCCCCATCTCATAACCCATGTCTTTAATTTGATAAATGGGAAAGATAGGCATACATTTTAGTTAAATAATCATAAGAAATTTAATTAATAGCAATCTTTTTAGCGTGGCAAACGTCCAATTCCTGAAAAATTATTATGAGGTTACAAGAAAAATGGTATAATGGTTTTGATTTTATTTCCATAAAAAAGGTCAAAGTCAAATGCATAAAGAAATCAGAATGCTATCACCAATGTTATGGAGTAAGATTCTGAATGATTACTGTGTCATCACCACTATTTTCACATCACAACAGTTTAAAAGCAGATGCTAACAGTTTGCCAAATGGCTGCCTAGTAATTGCAAAACCGGAACAGATTGCCAACATGTTCATAGTAATAGGGATTGGGGATGCTATTTCTTCTCAAATATGCAGAAAGTGACTTTACTACAATGCTGATGATAAGGTTACTTGCCGAAGCCTCTTAGTGACTGTCAAAACTTTGATGAAACTCTAATGAACAATTAGTATATACCTTGTCAAAATTCTGATGATTGACAAAACCCCCAAATGCGAAACTCTGTCGAAACTTTAATAAACAATTAATGTGTAACCTGTCAAAACTCTGTCGATTGATTTCTGAAGTTTCGCCCACAACTTTAGCTGATGATCTCATCAAAAAAAAATGATAATTATAGTAATACGTTCCATATTCCTATTTCAAAAAACCAAGAGAAATGACAGCATAGATACTTTGACTAATAAGGAAGAATTATTTTTATACAACTACACTGAACAAACACAATTTCTTTATTGTTTGATATTTGATCATAATTTTTATATTCAAATTCTTGAATGTGAATGTTTAAGTAGGAACAAAAAATGTTGTTTCCTTTTCACCAGTAATATTTAACTTTAATTCCTTTGGTGAATTCTCTATTACCATATATATATTTAATATATCATGATGACAAGTTAATGAAGAAGGAAGGTATGTATGACACAAGAAATAATCAATTGACAAATTTTATTTCAGAATTTATTTTATTTATTCCATTAGTTTTTCTAAAAAGAAATATTTTATTAAATACAAATAAAATAATAAATGAATTATTATAAATTATTAAATATATCATTTACCTTCTTTTTTCCCTACAAATCCAAAGAGATGTATATAAATAAAATTTTAATGCTTGAATTAAATCGATAAATGTCTAATAATAGCAATAAAATTTAATATAAAATACAAAACGGTATACATATACATATACATTATATATATATAAAAATTAAAGATTATTATCGAATGAATACTCAAGAAACAAATGTTTGATTATTGTTAATAAAACTCCTGTAAAAATCCTTTTGTGTGAGAGAGAAGAGAGAAAAACATAATTATTCTTAAATGTGATGAAATTTTATTGCAATTATCAGATCTATGAATTTCTCCTAATCCTTCTTCTTTCCATAACTTTAAGTCTTGATTTTGCATCTTCTGACGACACAGGTTTATAGTATAGATGAGGAGTAGCTTTTGTTTTTGAAAATAGTGAATCTAATGACACTATCTTTATATTAGGAGCAGTTCCTTATTAATATTAAAATTTCAATTAGACAAGAAAATCAATCACTGATAAATTCAATTTCATATTCCCAAAAAAATTTTTTGCATTTACCACTATTTCCATTAGGTTTTTTTCTTTCGGATCTTTGTATATCGCGTGAATTTGATAAATTCGAATTCGAATTCGAATTCGAATTTGGATTTGTGTTTGATGCTTTATTTTCTTCTTCTGCAATCAATTCCTCTGCCTTTTCAAAATCTATAAATTCTAACATAAGTTTTCTGCCAGTTTCAGGTGGAAAAACAACATCCCAAAGTGATTGATGTGCCAATTTTGCTGAATCAATTGAATCATACTACATTGATTAATTAATTAAACAAGAATAATAATATTCTTGTTATAAAACTGATTTCCAACTTTAATTTATTATATTTATGTATAAATGAAATCACCTTTACATAACAATGAGATTTAATCTTATCCATCCAAAAAAATTCGATTTTGCCATATTGCTCTAAAAGTTCGCGGACTTTTGTATGTGTTAAAGGACGAACAAAATTTTTAATGTATATGGTTGCAGTTGGCTCATGTTCAGAGGGTGGAACTGAAAGGTAATAAAAAAAGAGAAGAATGAAGTTGATTAAACGCCTTTAATAAAAAAAGTTGTTGAATTATACGGTTATTACAATACCTTGCATTTCTTGTTTATTTTCTTTATTATCTTCATGTCCATTATCTTGTTGCATTTCTTGATTCTTTCTTCAGTTGATGACAAGTCAAATTAATGTAACATAAAAATTTCCAGAATAATCTATGTAATTTTTTTAATTGAACGCGGTTGTATCCTATATACTTCAAACTCAAACATGACATTTGATTTCTGTAGAATCTGTAAAAGGAATAATTCTGAGGGTAAAAAACATTTATATACAAAATTACATCAAGGGAATTTACTCAATATATTAAACAAAGAAATTACGGTAACTATATCTTTTCTTTTCATCATCACGTTATTATAAAACTTTTAATTAAATAAATCTTTTTACATTGTATTATTTCTTTTGTTTAAAAAAAAAAGAAATATAAAAAGTACAGGATTTTTTTAAAAGATATTACTATTGTTTATGATGTTAACAAGCAACCTGATTTTTGGTGTTTGTTTTGTGAAGTGAACGTAGAAATAACTTTTAAAAATGTTGACGAAAAACAAATTATTTGGTTTGTACTATTGATTCTTTTTCCCAAAGCAAACAATAAAAAATCTTGATTATTTTAATATGTTTTTTTTATTATGTAGTGAACACATATTTGAACATATGGTAACAAAAAATCATCATGATAATGTTATCAAGTATTTTAAAGATCAAAAAGCAGATTGTAAATTAATTAATAATTTTATACTGAAAAAAGATGAAATTGACAAGGTAAATTAATAATATTAATATTATTAATAATAAATTGGTTAATCTTATTATATTATATTGTAAATTAAACAGTTTCGAAGGAGATCAAAAGAGTTACAAAAGAAAAATCAGTTAAAAAAGGAAGAAAGGGAATTAAAATCCAATGTAAATCAAGAATCCAATAATATTAACGTAAATTTACCAAGTAGCTTTGAAAACCTTGTGGCATCTCGTCCTGAAAATCAGTCTCTTTCTATGTCAAATATTCAAGATTTACCGGTATGATTATTTTTATAATTATGATGATAATTAGATGTATAAGCACTTTTGTAATATTATATATTTATATATTTAGATTTCTATTTTGGATAAAAATGATAAAATGGAAATAAAATTTGAAAATCTTAATAATAATAATTCAACAGTTAAACCAATAATTAATAACAAATTAAATATTAATGAAGAAAAAAAAAAAAAAAGAGATCGTTCAAATATATTAGATGAAGATGAAGATGATGGTGGTGGTGGAGAAAGAAAGAGAAGAACAAGATCAACTGATGATATTTTTGTACAAAGTAATTATAATAATAGGTGATAAATGTTATTTATTTATATTTGTATTTACACTTTTTATTTCTCTTTTGTTTAGAATTAACACGTATAAAAGTCCCGCCTCTTAAACCTGGTGAAGGAAATGTGTTTGAAGAAGGATCTGGTAAAGATATAGACATATTGTTTATTCTTATTTTTACTCTTGCTCCACTTCTTTTTTTAACAAATTATTAATGATGATCCTTTATTAAAATTAGTCCCACCTTGGTTACAAGATGATGATATGAAGTTTAGTGGCAACACAAACAAAACTGAAATAGGACCATCATTAGATGCATTCTTAGCAGCCAAAAAGCTTGAAAAGAAGAAAAAACTAAATCCAAATAGAGTTGGTGCTAATTTTGATAGAGGTTTGTTTAACCAAAAAATTTTTTTTTTTTTTGAATTTTATTTTGAAATTTTATTTTATCATGCATTAATATATTTAGAAAGTGCTGTGGGGAAGGATTGGGTGCCAAATTTCGGTAGAGTTTGGAATAATGGTACTAGAAATCGATCTCAAAAGCAATATAAAAAAGAAATGAAATCTATTGAAAAAACAGGAAAGAAAAATAATTAATTGCTGTGATATGAAGATGATTATCGTGACTATTTAAATAATTCAATTGGATTAAAATATATGTAATTTATTTTTCAAAGTGGTATTGGTATGTATGTATTTCTTATAATAATATTTTAACTTTATATGACTTAAATATTATTAAAATTTTTTTCTTTAAATTGCATTGTAGGCTAAGATTGCTCAAATGTGAAGTTCTTATTTTTATTTGTGTAAATTAAATTAATTATTATTATTGGTATTTATATTTTAAATATTCTAATTAAATATAATTGAAACTAAAGAGCTATATAGAATAGATGAATAAATTTTAGGATTGTTCATATCCTAATAACTTTGTTAAAATCTATGCATAACTATTTGTTTACTATCAATTTACGCATTCATCACATAGCGTATAATCCTGAATAATGCTTCAAGATATCAATAGAAACAAGGGCAACTGGTCCCGGACCAATTTTGAGTTAATGTTACACCTATATGCAACGCATCAAACTCATCACAAGGATTAGGAACCATACTTGAATAAAATTTTTGAGAAATCTTAAAAAAAACAAAATGCAGATCTTTTTTTGTATCAGATTACATGTAACAATAATGTATTTATTTAAGATTTATAATTTGTATATATTTGACCGTCATTGCACTTGTATTTATTATCATGATTGGCATCAACACCGTAAATCTGGAATAGTAGTTGTAGGTGGTAGTGGTAATAATAGTAATGTGGTAATAATGAGGGATCGGGAGGATCAAATCCATCACCTGCATATCATATAAGCAATCTTCCACTGCATCACAGGTATGGTATCTGAGAGTAGGTTGATTAACCTTGATGAAGCCAAATTGGTTTATGGTGTTATTTATTCTTTAAGAAATTTCGTTAAGAAACTTACTGGAAGGTGGATTGGAAAACAACAATAAATAATAATATAGTTACAATTATATTTTACAATTATTATAATGATAATGATCATCTTATATCCAATGTTCACATATTTTTTATGGTTATTAGTCAAAACGGATTTTTATCTTACTGTACATCATTTATGAAGCTCCAACAGGTCTAAAATTTGTGACAAATTTTTATGTAAAATTTATTGTCAAAAATCCTTTATCTCCAGCTGAGCATCCACATGGTGAAGGTGTTAACAATGAATATTTTAAAGCTGCTGTTGATAAATTAATTTACTTTTAATTTTATTTTCATTTTTTTGTGCATTTCGAATTTAGATTCAGTTTTATTTTCTAATTCTTTAATAAAAAAAATGAACAAGTGAACATAACATCACAAAAGAATTGCATTTGGTGACTAGCTATAGTAACCCCCAATAGACAATATTTTATTTTCATTTCTTGCTCCATATTCCTCCATACAATTCATGCTATGCTAAGCTTAAAACCTTATTTTCATTTTGACCCTGACTTAATTGTTCTGGTTTTATCTAGGTTAATTTGATTCGATTTTCTTCAGCTATTATTTTTAGTCTGGCTGACATTTGGGCTTTTTTAATTATTTCTATTTTGCTAGTTTCACTTTTGGGGTGGTTATCTTTCTCTAAGAAAGCTAATTGATTTTTCAGGTTAATCGCATCATTCTTTAATTGCTGATTGTTTGCTTGTTACCTCTTTCAGTTTTTTCATAATCATCCTCTAAATGTTTTATTTATTTTCTTATCTTTTCCTTATCTTGTTTTCAACTTTCATCTTTTTGTTGAATATCCTTGCTTTTTAGTTGATTGGTTTCTTCTAGAATTTCCTGTTTTTTTTGCTCTTCATTTAAATTATTTTGATTATTTGGAGATATAGTTGAAATAAGGTTTTTAAAAAGATCATTGATATTGAATTTTGACCAGGGGGGACAAAAATTTCCTTTTTACATGACAAAACCGAAAAATTCACAGATATCAAATCACTTGGTCGCTGAACTGTGTAAATTCTTTTAAGACCTTTCTTTTATACACAAACAAAGTTTTTTGTTGCAAAGTTTATATCAATATTAACCTTCAAAATTGGCGTATTTAAGAATTATTTTTTATTTATAGTCCTTTAATCTTTTTTTTTTAGGTTAACTTTTAATCAATTATATTCATAGATGTTGTCCGAAACTACTTAATATTAATAGTAATTAATTTTAATAATTGCCGACGAAATTATTTGAACTCTAAAATAAATCAAATGGCATGGTTATTTTATGTTCATAAAGAACATTAAAGCCGAAACGGTTGCCGTAATTATTTTTTTTTCCAAATACAAAAGCAATTTCGGCAAACAACATTTATCCAATCAAACAATACAAACCCCTCTCTAATTTTTCTTGGTAATATCTGTGATCAGTCAAAAATTTCTAAAATTGCTTAACTAAATTCTGTAGATATTGTTCGACATATAGATCCTTTCTGAAATGTTAGTTTAAATCGTTAAAAAAAAGACTTAGGATACAGGATAATATTATAGTTATTATAGTGTAAGTTTATTATTAAAGATTAAATATGATTATACAATGAACATAAGATGATGGATGATATTGATTTCTATTGTTACAATGACAACAACAACATTACTACTAATACTAAGAGAAGATTCTTGTGTTAATCCAAAGCTCGTAGCCAGCGAGCAGCAACGCGTTGACATGCAATATAATGATGATAATATCAAAATAAATATAATAATAGTACATGTCAAAATAAATGAATAGATCCCATTAAAATATCGTTAAACGCATTAGATGTGAAGCTATAATTAATGATATGAATATTAATGTTAAAATAAATATTGATTTAAAAAATTCATAATCAACTCGTTAAAATAATTACCATTATTATTACCAATAATTGTAACTTTATTGGAATTCATGGGTTTTGGAAGATCTACAAACTTCGATAGTCTACTAATGTAAACAGCATTGGGATGTATATTGGTTGAAGGATCAAAGTTTATCTTATCCATTTCATCAAATTCTTTTCTAATTAATTTTAATTTACTGTGCTCTGTTAATGGGTAGTGAATATAATTAAATCTAATTAATGAATCATCGAATCCGTTGTTCCAAAAATTAATTATTTCTTTTATATTTTGCGCAGTTGGACGTTTATTAGGGTCAGCATTCATGCATCTGCACGCTAATTCGATATAAAATTTGGGAGTATTGATTGAAAAACTAGGCCTTTTTCCTTCGCAAATTTTTCTTGCGAGATTTTCATCATGTGAGATGTTGCTAAAAGGTTGCTGGCCTGTTGATACTGCTGACATTAATACCCCAAAGCTATATATATCAGATGCCATTGAGTATAGTTTACTATTCAACACTTCAGGTGCTATATATGGTAGTACTCCGTAGATTCCATTTATCGCGTAATCAGCCGGAAATGATAAACCCAAATCTGCAATATAAGAAAATAAAGCAGTGGAATATTCTTCTTGAAGAATATTGCCGCTGTGAAGATCACGGTGGACAATTTGTTGTTCATGGATAGAATATAAACCCTTAATGATGTTGTTAAGGATTCCTATTTTATCCTTCCATTTTAAAATTTTGAATTTTGTTTTTAAATAATTTTGTAGACTTCCCTCTTTTAGATACTTCATTACAATTACATAATCTTTTGTGATTGGGTCTCGAGTTAATCCATAAATATGAATTATCTCGACATTATTGTGAAACTTCACATAATTTTCGAACTAGAAAAAAAATTTTTTTTTTTAAATTATAATAATGGAAATGCAATTTTTAATATAAAATTTTCCATAGAAATGAAATGATATTTTACCTCATTCAAGAAATCCCCAGAAATATTTTTATAATTATGTAATTTTTTTAATGCAACAACCCTATCTTCACTAGATCTTTTATTTTTATAATCAAGTGTTTTTTTTACCAAGTGTCCAAGTAGCTTTGTATATAGTTGCAAATCCACCTTCACCTATCTCTTCAATAATTTTTATATCCTCGTAAGCAATCCATTGAAGGTAATAATAATTGTCATATCTTGCCGCTTTTAATTGCGACACTTTAATAATTTCATCCAATTTACTATTGCCACTTGTCCATCCTTGAGTTAATAATGATGGATCACATATTTGACACCATGCCCAATTAGTATTGTATTTGAGACAGCTTGGGCATTTACCATAAATTTTATTATAATTTGTATCTTCTTGTTGTGGATTGCCTCGTCGAGCAAAGTAATAGATAAAAAACATTGGCGCGCTCAAGACCTTGTTTATAAAATATATATAAGGCTCAAGCTTGTGAACCAGTTCGTTGAGAGTAATCATTTCTTGAATAATCATTTTTATTTTAAATAAAAATGAAAATATTTTAATATATATTATATTATCCGTTAAACGATTTTTTAAACCAAATATGGTCTAAAGTTCGAATTCCGTTTTTTTCTTTACGAAAAAAAGAGTAATTTTATTATTAATTATTATTATTATTATTATTATTATTATTATTATGTATTGCTCATGTAGTACAAAAATCCGAATTCCTTATAATATGTAATATTTTGTATTATTGATGTGAAAATAAATTCGAAATTCGTGTCACATGAAGTTTTCTTAGAATATCTCGTTATTTTTATAATAAACTCGAAATTCGTTGTTAGACTAAAATGAAAGTACTCCATTAAAGCTTTATAATGAATACTCTTTCATATCAAAAGGTATCCTCTACATGAATTCACAGCTATTCAAAAATGGTATTACTTTTTCACTTCAAACCTCAGATTATTTCTCAATATCGCTTTAAAAGACTTGATAGTAAATGAGAAGGTG